TGACAAATCTTGCTCCAACAAGATCAGACATGCCTGCTGCTGCAGAGTTAAACTTTTGGGCAGAGTGCCTTCCTGTCAATTTTATACGGCCTCTACGGCACAAATTCCAATTTAGGGATTTTTAAAAGAATTGTCCATGCCTTCCATTATGTATTTTATTGGGGGGGATAAGGAATTACAGATTGCTCTCAATACAACAACTGGCTTGCTTTGTCACAGAATGGTGGGTGTAAGAAAACATAGGCATCTCTGATGGTAATTTGACTTGTGTTTGAAATATTAGTACTTACTGTGCTGCTCCTTCCCTGAGAAGATTGTCATTGTTAAGCAATAACCGGACATCTGGAGAAGAGAGTGTTCAGGTAGGTTATTGGATTTTTTTACCAAATGTTTCTCTTTATGCATTTCCATTTCAACTGTACAAACGCAAACACTAAAATGATTAAATCATTTAATTAAGCATATGTAGTCACAGAATGACAGCATGCTTTTCCCTCACCACTTCTTAACCTTAAAAGCAGCACGTTGTGACACAGCCTTAGACTCTTGTAATAGATGAAATGTGAAGAAAACACCACCGATTATTTTTCCTTATTTACTTACCATTGAATACTTCATTGAATTCTCCAGGGGGTGCATGAGTGATGAATTTTGCAGCTATACGCACCTACAATGAAGCAGAAAAGTAGTTCAACTACAGACAAAAGATAATTTACCGAGTTCATACATACTGTAACTTACACCAAAGCAATTCACCAACGAAACCAACTGTGACAGTGATAGGAAGTGCCAGACTTAGGGAGAAATCTAGGCATGCATTGTCAAAATGGAAAGAGTCAGTCTTTTTTTCAGTGTAACCGAGCAGAAGAATTCCAAATGTACTCGGGAAGAACTGCAAGCTTCACATGGGCACCTGGAAAAATGTGAACTGTTCAACCTGCTTAGTACTAACCTATTAAAAGAATATGAGTGCTGGCTAGCCACTCTTAGTGACATTGTTAAACAATGTTTTTTCCTGATCCATGCTAGTAATCAGAAACCTAAATGCCAAGGTATATATAGAATAAGAAACAACTGCAGTAAAAGTGACACTGTACCTAGATGGTAACCTACAGCACAACCACATAGCTAGGAGTGTCTGACGTATGTTGCAAGACACTGTGATTCCCTGTGATGCAACTTGTTTGTTGCTGACGACTGGCTGAAGGAGATGCCACTGCTTCACAGCAAACAGCGTGTGAAGGAGGAGAGGTTGATCCCTCTAGAAATGGAGCAGTAAATCAATTACATCAACTGGCACGGGACTGCTTCCAGAGTTAATTATGCCTCACGGACTTTGAAAAGCCACTGATGTGCTCAAAGTGCAGAAGGGTTATGGAGATACAAAGTAAAAAGCTGGGAACTGACAGAAATGGGGGAGGTGATGGAAAGTGCCAAAAGGAACCGGAGAAGTTGGACAGAGCCTCCGAATGAAACCATCCAAATTTCAGCAGGTGACTTCCCCCCCGCCCCCCCCTTTGATTCTCTAATGCTGCCCTGGTCACTTCTAACCCTGAGCAGCAGACACATCACCTGAGCCATTCCGTGGCATGTTACTCCTCTTATCTTGAAGTAGTATTTTATTGGAAACTGTACTGTAGTCCAGACATGAAATGTCTCAGCAGTGGAAGAACTAAGGCACGTGGAACTGTGAGTGATACAATAAATAACTGAAAAGGCCAACTGGAAGGAAAATACCTGAATGCCTGCAAACTTTGAAGCTGGAAAAGAAAAATCCATTCTCTTCTAAAAAGTAATAGAACTGCACGGTGTTCTGAAATCCAATATACATGACTTGCTTGGATTGTTAGAATTTAGGTGGTCTAGGTATTGAGTCTGTTGAAATTAGTAGGAGTTTATGGTTTTCATAATCAAATCTTTTATGATTTTTACAGGACCAAAGGGAATAGAATCATCTTGGAAGACTTGAAACAGGAAATGTCACAAAATTAAACCTCTACTTTAGAATAATAAAAATGTCACATTTCTTCCAATAAGCACAGATAACAAATCTGTGCAATAAGCCTTTCTTGCTCAACTAGACATTTATTGAAGATGACTGCAGAACAGTGCTCATTACAACTCTCGACTACTTTTTCTACTTTTCATTTTGAACAGTAAAACAGAGGAGTGTGTATATAGCCAACTACTTCAACTGAATTATTGCCAGAGCTGGAAATAACTTGCGTCTCTCAACAGTCTTCCTTGTTTTAATTAGAAATTGTTGTTTGTATTGTTTGTCACATAATGATTTAAAGCAAGCCATGAAAGGAAATAAACACCTTTCCAAACAAAGGGTATACTGCCTTATTCCAACAGTATGAAGTAACAACTCTGCCTTAGCTGGATTGGGCTTCAGATAAAAATAGATCATTTTCCAAATTAGCACCTATTTAAAAAAAATACATTCTTATGCCTTAAAGAATTATGTAATATAAATGAAAAACTAAAAAGTCTGTAACTTGTGTAATTGATACAATACAGAATGTCAAACCATTTTCTCCTCATTTTCTGCTTTTTAGGTAAGGTTGGTAGGTATACAGCAATCCTAAAAATGTAGCTCTGTCTGAAAATTTTCACTGTTAAAAGAACTGTCATTAGGACATGTTGCTGCCATAATCTTGTTAGGTTTCCCTATCAGAAACTTGGATGGTGATGAAGGTAACCCAGCAGTAATGAAGAGGGACACTGCTGCTTTACATCCTCTGTGGACTTTGCTGAGAGCCAGCCCTAAATGGCTGAAAGACTTCTGAAATGACGCCATGCGCTTTTCTAAGAAAGTGCGAGTGTAAGCACTAGTACAGGCATATCAGACTGTGCTAAAGCGCTTACAAATACGTACCACTTCATGCCATGATGCCTTTCAGTGGGAGGATTGCACTAGAATACATCCTGCAAATTAACGCCCCAGATGAACAAATTCCCTTTTATAAGGTGCTTCAACACATGAAAAAATAAGGCCCCTAAAAAGCCATAAAATTTAGTATCTTATAAGTTTATCCAACAATGTTGTGGCTGCAGAATTGTACTGTACATGGAACCCTCATAAAAGGATCCACTGTTTTAACAGGTTGACTTTTAGATCAATGGATTCTCATAAACAGATCCTTGTGAAAAAGATAAATATTACAGGAGAGACTTTTACTGTCTTCCACAAATTCTTCTACTTGGAAGGATGAAGAAAATTAAATCAACACAGAAAGGACTCTGCATTTCCATCAAATGTTACCACAAAACCAGCTATAAAGCAAGTAAACACTGCAAGTGAAAAGTGTTCACTCTTACAAAGTATCCCTAGCCCTGCCTCTCTTGTGGAGCAATAAAGTACAAAGCATTTATGCCAAGCTCTTGAAATCAGGAGTGGACTGCGGGAAACAGGCTGTGGAGTAATTAATTCTAAATGTCAAGCATTTGAATCACTCTTTGTTTTTCAAGTTGACTTGTTTCAAAGTGGTGTCAGCACAGTGGCAGGATGTTCATTTGCAGAAGCACAAAAATAAGACTTTCTGCAAACTGACCTACTTCCTGGCCATCACTGCCATTTCAGGTAGCTCGCAGCACACTAGCAAAACAAACTTCCTGTTTCTAAAATGGAGAAAGTGTCTGAGAGGGAAGCTGCTCAACCATTAGTTTAAGCTGGCAAAATGGCAGCAGAGTGAACTTAAGTAGACAGTAAGGTACACTGCAGTAGAGCTTAAACTAAAATGAATCCCTTAGCTTACCTAAAATATGCCTATAGAGAATAAAGCAAGTGAGGCTTGGGGGGGATGGAATGAATTAATTTTGTTGCTCTATTGATTTTTCTGTTTCTTTGCTTTATTTTAAAGCACTGGTAAACTCAGACTTAAAAAAGGAAACATATGTAAAAGTTCTAGACCTATTTGAATGGTTATAAAATGGATACTACAGTAAATCTTTGCCGCATGTTTCTTTTTCAGATCCTCGCTCAAGATTATCCTTTTCTACCTGTGCTAAGCATGGAGCTACTTTAAATTGAATCGAGGTTGCCTGAGCCGAGACATGAAGTAGAATGTAGGCTCCAATTTCAAGCAAAATCCCATCTACTCTGCCAGACAAAGTACTTGGGCACACGTCGCTCTGAAGGGCCTCTTCTTGAAGGACAAGTCTTCCCCGCAAGTGCTTTGAAAGAACCGGAGACTTCAGGTGAATGCAGTGGGGAGAAAAAACCTGGTGACCCTAGGTTCTTGCAACACAGCCCCTCCTTCCCAGACTAAATGGCTAGCCTAGGTGTAGCCTACAAGCAGGGACTCCAGTTCTCCTTCCAGCTCTGTTAAGGACTTGCTAGGTGACCAAGGGCGACTTACTTCACCTTCCTCACTCTCAAACCTGTACCACCATAACCCCAACATGACAAAGCTTTACTTTTAATTTTCACATCAAATGTGACAATGCCTTTGACTTTAGGAGTTCAAATGAAATTAGGCCAAATGACATAGACTAAAATATTTTATAGAGTGCTGGATAGATTTCAGTAATGTGCCAAAGACCATATGAATTCTGGTTTGGAATACTCATTTCAAACAATGCTAATGTGTTCTAAAATATTCACTAAAGGATGAATTGCACCTTTAAGTTCTATCTGCTTGTTTCACAATGAATGGCACTGTAATGAAGCTGAAATCGGCAGCTTAAGGGAAAAATGAAAGCAGGCTCCAAACTCTAGGATCCTTGAAGATCTATAAGGCTTAATGCCCCGCTTCAGAACAAAGCAAAAAGCTATGTGCAACAGTTTTATGATGTAAGGAGGAGTAGGGGTGGATTTTTTTAAGTACCATTTGCAGGCAACTAGTGTCTACAGACTTGCAGAAAAGGCTACATGTTAATTTGTTACATGAAACTCAGTGCTGCTTGCAAGGCTGTCATTTTTCCACATTCCTACGCAAGAGGAACAGTCTGTTCATTTCTCTGTTTCCTAAAATAAATATTGCTCTATTTGCTCCTGCTTAGTCCCTTCCACCCAGTATAATTTCTAGGACCTACATCAATGTTACCGTCAGCAGCTGGGGCAAGCAGCAAACATGAAAACACGCTCTGAAGGTGTTTTGGAACCGAACGTGTTTCACAGCACCTTTTAAAGACGCTGCTAACTTTATTGGCCTGGAAAAAGAAATCCGAGGAGCAGAAAATACATTTTCACGCACAAAGACGCGCCGAGGCACCTGAGCTGCGCCCAGGCAATAAGGAAATCGGAATGCAAAGCCTTGCACCGATGAGTAACCGCTGATCCCCGCCCGGCCGGCCTCTCACCCGG